CATCTGCTTCACTAAATTCAAAATCCCCTAACTCAGTCCAATCAACATCATTGTAGTCATCCACATTGCTAAATAAATCATCAGATACTACCAATCTATTTCCAATGTTACTAACCACACCACCTCTTGTACTTGTGCCACTACTACTCACGTGTCCCTCTCCACTAGTACGAGTATCAGTTACGACAAATGAAGGTAAAAGTCGATCAAGTTCCAGAAACATATTAATCACCTTAATACCATAATTTGAACTAAACATTTCAATGACATCCTGATCAGATTTAACCTCCATCTTACTCTTAGTGTGTGTTTGTAAAGTACAAATTTAATCCCACACCAAAATTCCCAGGTACATTAGTGAGTGCAGCTTCACAAGCATCAGCCAACAATTGCATGTAGTTATGCTTGTAAGGATTAACATTCAAAATGTGACTTACAGAACCATTAAAGTGTACTAGTATGTCATGAAGCATGGGATCAACCATTGTCCTAAATACAAAAAAATCATCACAAAATTCATGAATATCAGAAGGCATCTACATAACAAGTTTACATTACAACATCAAAATTTTAGTAAATAATAGAGTAGAAAATAAACCCAAAAAAACCACCTAAACCGAAATTTTAGAAAAAAGAAAGTGTAGAAAACAAACCAAATAAATTCCCAAAAATACTAATTGAAACAGACCCAAAATTTTAGTAAAAGTAAGAGTAGAAAACAAATATAAAAAATTAAAAAAAAAATTCCCTAAAATACTAATTGAAAACAAACCCTATAACCCCAAAATTTTAATTTAAAAAAAGGTAGAAAGAAACCCAAAAAAAAAAAAATCCTAAAATAGATTGAAAACAAACCTTTAAACCCTAATTTTTTTTTTTTAACAGGGTAAAATACAAACCCAAAAAAATCGATTAAAGACTCACAAAATTCCGTAAGCAAATAATCCTAAAACAAATTTTATAAAAAATAAAATCATGAACAAAGAATCCTAAACCCCCAAATTTCAATGCTTAGTATGAGAGAGTAAAAATGGATCACTTACAAATTTCAGATTTTTCTTCAATCAACGATCTAAACTTCTTTGTGTAGTCTTTTCTTCTTTTAGATCTATGCATCCAACAATAAACAACAATGAACTTTCCCCTTTGCAATGCCTTTTCCGTCTCTCTCAGATAAAGATCTCACTTTCCCCTTTGTAATGCCTTTTCCATCTCTCTCTCGGATAAAGAAATGAAGAAAGTGAAGTACTTGAACCTGGTTTAAAAAAAAAGAAGTTTAGTTATATAAAATGCAAGTACTGACTTGACATGGGGGCATTTTAGTCAGTTTATTGGATGGGTTAACGGAGTTAATTGTCAGGGACGGGATCTAATATTCGAAACCTCAAGAATATCTGTAATTTATCCAAACTTCAAGGGGTATATGTAATTTGTCCCTATTTTTTTATACATCGTTTCATAAAAAGTAAAGACTTTATTTAAAAAAATTAATTCTCAAAATAATCCTAGTAATTTTTTAATTAATATAATCACTCTCCAAACGTAGCCACAGTAAGATTAAAATATGGCAATATCTCTCATTTAATTTTTATTTTTAACACTGATCACTTATCTTATTTTTCTCACCTCATAAGAGCAATTCCAAGGGAGGAGACAAAACGGGCATATGAGACATTTTTGTCCATTTTTATTTTTCACTCTTCGCATCTAACTCGCCTCCATTGTTGAGCAAAAGGATTTTCCCACTATTTTGAGGTGTTCATCTCTCCTTGTTCCCGCAATCTTTATTACATCTCTACTTGTTTAATTTCAAAAATACGATCACGGAAAATTATTATTTTAAAAATCATTTAATTATATATTTAAAAAAATACATAATTGTTACTACATCAACACTAGGTTCATAAACAAAATTATTATCAAAAGATTTTATTTTTTATTTATGTTTATAATATTTTTTAAAAAAAAATTAGTTAAGATATTTTGATTGATTAGCTAAAATAAATAACATGATTGGCATGCATATTAACTAAATTAATTAGGCAAAAAAAATATTGTACTTTTTTGTGCAATTTTTAAAAGACATTTTGCGTAATAACCTTGGAGTTGTTCTAAATTTTAAGGGTAATGTTTGGAATTTTAAAAATATTATCATGGTGGTAAATTATCTCTCATACATTGGAAGAAATTATTAGAAAATGATTTTTTTTTTTTGGAAAAATTATTTTTTTTAAAAAAAACCTAAAATTTGACCTTTATAACGAAATAAAAATTTTAATTTTATCAATTTAAACTTTAATATTTTTATTCATTTTCAATTTAAATCATCAGTCTATTTTCATTAAGTAAAATTAATGAAAACAATTTTTTAATCAGTAAATTCAATGTCTATGTACATAAAATATTTAAAATTCTCTTTTTCTTTGGATTAATAGCTAAAATATCTTTTTCTCGTCAATTCTACTTAATTAATTTATTAGCCTATCACCCGTGCTATGGACGGGATAATTATAGATATTTATATTTATTTTAGATTTTTTTAATATATAAATTATGTTTTTTAAAATTTTTTATAAAAATAATTTAACAATCTTATCACTAATCATAGTGTATGAGAGAGAGTTGAAAACGGTACTGCAGTAACTATACACGGGTTATATCTATAATTATCTGTATGAGGAGATTTTAAATGCTGATTAGATAATTTTGACCAAATCAATAAATACAAGTATGTGGAAAGATATGCGAATTGAAAAAAGTTAATAAATGGTGATCAGGAGATTTTGATCAAATCAATAAGTGCTAAGTTTTTTTTTTTTTAATCAAAAATTTAGAAAATTAAGATTGGGATATTGGAGCTTCCACAAGGCTTGTAAGTTAAAAATCCTATTTTCCTTATATAATACTAGTCTATCACCCGTGCTATACACGGGATAATTATAGATATTTATATTTGTTTTAGGTTTTTTTTAATATATAAATTATGTTTTTTAAGATTTTTGATAAAAATAATTTAACAATCTTTTCACTAACCATAGTGTACAGGAGAAATTAAAAAGGCTACTGCAGTAACTATACACGGGCTGTATCTATAATTATTTGTATGGGAGGATTTTAAATGCTAATCAGGAATTTTGACCAAATCAATAAATGTAGGCATGTAGATTGGAAAAAGTTAATAAATGATGATCAAGGGATTTTGACCAAATCAACAAATGCTGAGTTTTTTTTTTAAATCAAAAATTTAGAAAATTAAGATTGAGAGATTGAAACTCCCACAAGGCTTGAGGTTTAGAAACCCCATTTTTCTTAATATATTTACAATTAACTATATATGTGAATTGTGATTTTTAAATATATTTTTTTTAAATGTCTTCTTTTTTTCTTTTTTTATATTATATTAAAGTTTAATATTTTGATAATAATTATATGTGTCGAACTTTTTAAGGATTTAAATGTCTTTTTTTTTATTATATTATATTAAAATTTAATATTTTGATAACAATCATATGTGTTGGACTTTTCAAAAAAAAAATTTATGCTTGTTTTTAATGCATTAATATTTTGATAATAATCATATGTGTTAGGACTTTTTAAGGATTTCACTTTTTAAGGATTTCATGTGTTGGATTTCAAAGAATTTTTTTTATGCTTGTTTTTAATGCATTAAAGTGTTATTATGAGAGTAAGACTTGGGAGTTGGGAGAAGTTAATAAATGCTAAGATTTTTTTTTTTCAATCAAAAAATTAAAAAATTTAGATTGGGAGATTGGAGCTCCCACAAGGCTTAGGGTTAAAAATTTTCTTTTGCTTAATATATAGTATAGATATTGAAAATAAATTAAAATTGATTTAATTAAAAATTCTGAATTTACCACAATTAAAGTTAATAAAATTCAGAATTAAAAATAAATTGATCAAAAATTTTTTTTTTTGGGGGTCATTTTTCATTTTTTATAGTAAATTCATTTTCATTTTTTTATTTTTCTGCTGTTGTTTGGATTTTAGGATCCAAATACCACTGTCCGGTCCTGAAGCGCAAGGGCTGCGCACCATTCTCTCTCTCTGTCTCTCTCTCTCTCTCCTCCTCAATTTGCCACGATTATGAATTTCAAGATCTCCTTCTAACCAGGTACGCTCTGAATAATCGACCCAAATCTCTTCTACACAAACTCATCACTGTAATTTCAATTTTCTTTTTCTTCTTTTTTTATCATTCAATCGATTACTTGAATAAAAAAAAAAAAAAATCAAACTTTCACAGAATCATGAACAACTACGACTTCGATTTGGGACTCGGTTCGAACCGTCCTCGATCTCTCAACGATCAAAAGAATCAAAAACCTTCATCTCAACAATCTAGGCCCAATAATACGACGTCGTCTTCTTGGCAACCCAAACCCTCCTGGACCCACCAACCCGCTCCGACCCAACCGGTTCGGTCCGGGTTTCCCGGCGGTGCCACGTCGATGGCCGGAGATATATTCGGGAAGAGCTGGGGATCTCCGGCACCACCCACCACCACCACAAAATCTGGTATTGGAATTGTCAATAAAAACCCTAATTTGTTTGGTGATCTTGTTAGCTCTGCTCTAGGGCAGAATAAGGGTAACAGTAATGTTCCTTTGAAGAATGCAATTCCGGTATCGAATGCGTATTCGATGGGGAATTTGGCGGATTTGCTGCCGAAAACGGGGAATTCTGTGAAGGGTAGTGGTAATTTGGGGTCTTCTGAGAGTTTTGGGACTTATACTAGTGGATACAATAGTAGTAGTAGCAATAGTAATGTGAAGAGTGTGAAGATTGGAGGTGGGTTGGGATCAAGTAAAGACCCATTTGTCTCTTTGGTTGATTTTGGATCGAAGCCACTAGGTAGTATGAATTTATCCGGCAAAGGAAACAAGAAGTCCCCTTCTGGTGACGATGCATTTGGAGATTTTCAAAATGCTTCGAAGTCAGCCAAACCCGGTTTCACACCAAATCCTGTTCCTACAAATAGCAGCAGCTCAATGGGATCGAATTCTGGTTCTTATTTGAAAGTGGATGATTTCCCAATCCCCACTCCTCAGAATCAGCCTCCTGTTCAGTCCTCTGGTGTTGATGTGTTTGATTCACTGTTTAGCTCATCATCAGCCTCGGTTGGAGGCGGCCCTAAAGGGTCTGAGGGACTTGGGAGTCAGCAATTTGCAGGTGCTGATGATTGGGGGATGGATTCAGAGTTTGGAGGAGGGAATGAAATGGGTGGGACGACTGAGCTTGAAGGGCTTCCTCCACCACCTGCTGGTGTTTCAGCCTCGGCTGCAAAAAATAAGGGGATGGATCATTACAAACAGGGTCAGTATCCTGATGCCATAAAGTGGCTTTCTTGGGCTGTGATTCTTCATGAGAAGGCTGGCAATGATGCTGCTACCATGGAGGTCTTATCAAGCAGGGCTTCATGTTACAAAGAAGTTGGGGAGTATAAAAAGGCTGTGGCAGATTGTACAAAGGTATGCTTCATAATAGTTCTTTTATGGTAGAACATGTTTTAAATTCTGTTTGAAATGTTGAGAATTGAGTGTTTTTATATAACTTAACCTCCTAGTGTAAACATGACAGCCAGTGAATTAGTTTGAATTGACTCAACTTAACTTCTGTTAACCTAATGGCTTAAAAGTTACTTAGAATTGTATAGTTTTGAGGGCTGTTTGAACGATTGATGGATGACAAACATGGTGATGGAAATTCCTATTGTTCTTAGATCCTGCTATTCTGGTTAGGCAGGTTTCATGATAGTTTAAGAACTTCCTAGTTTCCAATTAAAGGCTTGTTTTGATTCAGTATTAGTTCTTAAAATATTTTCTTGCCTATATATGGTTAAGCATTCTATTGGTTTGAATTATTGGATAGTGACCAATATGAGGACCGATATAGTTCATTGTCATTTATTTTTCTACCTGTCCTGGGCACTGGATCTCTATACTATTTTTTGTTTAATTTTGTGGTATCATTTTGTCAATCACCTTATCTTTTCTAAGGGAAAGATCTCATAGGATGCATTGTATGCGTGTTGTGCAGGTGCTAGAACATGATGGCAAAAATGTAGTTGTACTTGTACAACGTGCACTCTTGTATGAGAGTATGGAAAAGTACAAACTTGGGGCAGAAGACCTGAAGACTGTCATGAAACTTGATCCCGGTAACAGGGTTGCAAGAAGTACCATTCATCGTTTGACTAAAATGGCTGACTAGAGAAGTTTCTGAATTCTTTTTCTTTTTTATCACTTTTTTCCTTCAGAAAGCTGTGTTTCAGTAAAAACAACCCAAAATAATTGTAACTTTTATGGAAATGAAAGTCGGTCCGTGTCCGGTGCCAATTAAAATTTTGACATGGGACACAACTCCCACTTGCACCTCCATGAAAGTACAATTATTTTAAATTGTTCCCTCTGAAATGCAATTTCCTTTTTTTCTTTATTCACGTTAGCCTTTTCATTTGCCCATATGTTTGATAGTTCTATTCCCCTGCTTCATATCAAATTGTGGGGGAATAATAACATTATGCTTGGAAAACTTTTTTTTTTTTTTTCTCTGTGATTTTACATGCATATTTTGTTGTATTTCATATCCTCTGCTGATTGTGATTGGAAATTATTATTCTTTACTAATTTGAATTAGCTTTTGGATTGTGAATTAGAAGTGATGCAGTATGTGCTGTGTTGTTTGTGTGATCATGTAATATATAATATATGTGCCTCTGGAGAATTGCGATTCCATGTTTCTGATATGGTTGAGCAGCTTGTGTAACTGCATGCTTTTGGTTTAAGTTTCAACCAACTTGGTTTTGTACTTTAATCACAATGTGTCTGCAAATTTGTGCAATTTCAGTCCCTGAAATTTATTGGCACATCATACTTTGTCCAAAAAAAAGAAATTATTTACATGTTATGTGTGTAAGATGAACTCTCTTTTCTTTTCTTTTTTTCTCTAGAAGTCCATCACCTGGTTTAGGAGTCCCCAACTTGTGTTATGTTCTTTATTCTTTTCAATTGTATAATTATTAAGTATGTAGTTCCCAACTTGTGTTATTCTTTGCAATGGTATACTAGTTAGTACATATGGTTACAATGATGTGGAGTATCCCATTTCAAAAGTTTTCATACCACCCCTTTCTTTCATCTGTGTCATATTTTGTAAAATTTTCTCTCCCATCACAACTGTTATATTTATCCAATGTCCTGCCAGAATTCCCTCAGCTTTTGAAAGAATCATACACATAAGCGAAGGATGTTTAGTGTGACGGTGTTTTTGTTTTTCTATGGCTTCAATATATCTTCTGGTGATCTCAGGAGGCATCCAAACTGTGTGAACAAGTGCATATCTGTTACTTACATGTTAAGATTGACGTTTCTCTATGACTCTTGAGTAATTTATTACAGAGAAAACAGGGTTGGTGAAGAAGCCAATGGAGGTAGAAACCCATGATGTTTGAGAGAGGCAGAAGTAGGGTGAGCAAAGAGTTTTTGGCTTGTTTCTTAGGAATGAGGTCAGGTGAGGAGTTGGAAGACATAACCGAAAGCATTGCTTTTGTGTTGCTTCCTAAAACCCAGTTTTCATTTGGTCCTTTTGTGTGATGCCAATGTCAGCAAATCACTGTCTTCTTTCAATAATAATGACATTTCAATTTTGATCTTTTTTCAATTGATTATCTCCTCTTGGTGCTAGGTTCTTAAGGGTGTGTTTGGATCTGTGATTTGTGGATAGAACTTTTTCTTTTCTTTTTTCTCTACAAATCTAAGATGCAAACATAGTTTAAAAATTTTTTATACTCCTATACTTTTTATAACATATATAGAAACACAAGTTCTCTCTCATTATTATTATTATTATTTTGGTGCAATCGTTAAGAGAGCAACAGGTGAAAGGAAGCTGCATTTGTAGGGTAAAAACTTGAACTTAAGCTCTGTTTGAGAACGGTTAAAAAAGTTTTTATTTTTATTTTTATTTTTTTATTATTATTATTATTTTTTTTCAAGTCTTTCTAATCTAGAAAAATTTAAAGAAAAGAAGTTCTGAAAAATCCAAAAAAAAGAAAAAAGCCTTTTAGCTTTTTTATTTTTATATGGCTTTTTTTAAATATATATATATATATATACTAGGCATGACATAAATAATGTTAGGATCAAAATGTAATTGTAATTTATAAGTATAATGTTAAAATTTGTGAAGTTTGTGTCATTTTTTGATAATGACATTGAAAAAAATATATTAAAATATTTTTCTTTTTAGAGAATTTGTAACAATTTTGCTTGTATTACACGTTCTACGAAACTTAGAGAAAGTAACAACTCCCCCAGTTTTAGCCATATATTTGCAGGTTCGATCTGCCTTTTAATTTAATTTTTGTGTCTGTCAGCAATATATCTAATTCTTTTGTTGCTAGTTACTCATGTTATTTCACTGTTCACTGACACTACCAATGAGTAATCTTCACAGCAATGTTTATGTTTCACTTGTATTGTCTAAAGGCAGACCCGTCTACTTGAAAGCATCATGAAATTAACTCAATGACCTTGCTTAAGTTTAGATGTCATAGAATTGAAACAACAGTACCTCTAACTAATTTTTCAACTTCAACAAATAGGACCAAATGAATCTTTGATTCATCACTTTTCTTTTGCTTTTTCTTTTTTAGGGGAGGATATGGTTTCAAAATATTCTTGGAAGTGATAAAAGTTGCTGCCAAGAGAATCAACTTCAACTGAGATATAAACATTACTGCTCATCATGTAACTATCATCCACAAGGCAATCAAGTCATACCAATAATAAGCAATAACTGGAACATCATCTTGGCATCCTCAGTAGCATCATATAGAACAAATGACCAATGAAATAAAGTTCTACGAAGAAAACTGAGGGGATAGAAAAGATAAATTATATTTTGAAGGAAGCTTTCTTATATGATTCAACAGTTAATTCTCTCTCTAAACACGCAATAATGGAATGAAATAATGAACATAATTGAGGGTTGAAGCGGGATTTATAATTTCAGCATGTTGTAATTGGTCTATAGTGAGTTTTTCATTTAGGCATTGCATCGAATAGTTGGTGAGCAGAAGGTGTAACAGGCAGCAGAAATTCATAACAAACTACACATGTATCAACACAAACCAAACTCAAAAACAGGAAGGCAAAGACAATTTCTCATCAAGCAAACATAGGACAATTTCCCACCGCCTATCAACATGAGCAACCAGTTTCATTTTTTTATGGAAATAAAGCCAAGGCAATCTTAAAGGGACTACTGTTCCTACTATCAAAATGTGAAAAAGGACCAAAAAAGATTCCTACCTTTCCCTCGCAGAAACAATTTTGGGACCAAAAATATTTGTTTTCACTATCATTTCCCCCAAAGTAGAAAAATCAGCGCAGAAACCAATTAACCAAGAAGAGAAAACACAATGGAACAACAATTAGAGCACACAGACACAATGGAACAAAAATCAGACCACTCCCTTTGCCTTTTCTTTTCTCCTACTTTTTCTTTTCTTATTTGAACTCCATTGTTGCTCAAGTTTGAGATTTGAATGGGAGTCATAACCTAGTTAATGAAAATCACAAACCCAAACCCAAATCTTAAAAACACAAATTGGATTGACTCGATATTCGGTTTGACTCAATGTGTTCTCATCAAGTCCAAAAAAGCTTTGATTTGGGGAATTCAGAGTACAAAGAACTAAAGAACTGAAGAAAAATACCTTTAATTTAGGAAAACACAAAAAGAGACACAGCCACAAAAACAAAAACAGAGAGAGAAGGGAAGAGGCAAAAATCGAGTGAAACACTATAAAAAAACACTGAAACAATTCTCAATCTTACTTTGCGAGTGCGAGTTCGCCGAGTTCGAGAGCAGCGTCGGTAGCGAAGAGGGAGTCTGGGTATCGATGCTGAATTAGGTTTTTGCTGTTTGCTGATCTTCCTCTTCAATGGTGGTGGACAGTCACGAAGTTGCTATGGCAGTAGACTGATGTTGATCATTGGCGACGTTGATGATGAGTAGCGGCGATAATGGGTAGCGACAGCATCTACACTTTCTCTATTGGTCAATCTTAGGCTAGAACACAACACCATGTCTTTCTCTGTACTACAACACCTTGAAGAAGATTATAGGTGATGAGAGAGATCCACCATAGAGGGAGTTGAAGAGAGAACGTGTAGAGAGGGAGTTGAAGAGAGAACGTGTAGAGAGGGAGTTGAAGAGAACGTGTTTAGGCAAACGTGGGAGGGAGGGAGAGGGAGAGTGAGAGAGAGAGAGCAGAGAGTGTTTGGGAGGGAAAAAATGATTCAACTGTAATATACCTCTGATACATTTTATACATTTTCAAAAACTGTTCTGTCTTATTATATAGATATATATATATATATATATATTTGATGTTTATCTAATTTAGTAGAAGTTATTAAAAAAATCACTTTAAACAAAATAAAATCAACAAAAAAAAATTTAAGAAAACAATTGTTAAACCCTTCTTTAAATATGACATTAGTAAAGAAGCATCTCATCTACTAAAATAATCTCTTGATCTTAAGTTATCTCTTACTTTTTGATAGATGTACCTCCCAAGTTTTTTAGACAATATGCCTTAGAACATCCTCAGCAGATCCCTTATAATAGCTTTTTGCTATTGTAAAGGGTTAATTCTTCAAAAATTCTTCCCCACCAGATCCCTTATACAACCCATTAAATTTAGGATTGCTACAGTCACTTCTCTATTTGTACGGAGTCACTGTAGCTCCTCATATCTGACAGTAGTTGTCCACCCGAATGTCCCAAATGAAGTGATCTGGGCAAAACTTGCCAGTCGAACTCCCAGACATCCTATGGGCTAAAGATTGAAAAAGCGAAAACATAGGTCAACAAATTACCAGGTCAAGAACATCAACAAGGGATTTAATCCCATTTTCATCCATGGAATTGACATGATCCTCCACCTATTTCCCTAAAATCAAATCTAGCTTAAGAAACCATCTTTGTCTGCTTCTGTATAACAACCTACATGGACATATAGAGATGGAAATCACCATCAAAACAACCTGAATACTTAATACACAAATGGCATTTTTGTAGAGAGAGAGAAAGAGATTGCCTGGAAAGAGATTAGGAGAGGATAGAGGAGGTGGTTCGAGCATGTATGGATGTCGAATTAAGGATTCGTAGGATGCTGAGCAAAAGAGCTCTTCTCATATTCGCCATTTTTTATTTATTTATGAACAATGCTCTGCTTCTGTTTTCTTCTGCTTTTTGTTTAATTATTTTATTATTAAAAAAAATTCAAATTTAAAAACAATTAAAAAGATTATATTAATAGAATTGAGAAAAAATAGGGAATTTGTTGAAAAAAATAGATGAAAAAGTAATTTCTAAAATAGGAAATAAATTTTTTAATAGTATGTAGGCTGCTGATGATGCTCTTATAACTTGCATTTATATTTCTTGAGATGTTTTCTATCTTTGAGGTGGTGTTTGACAAGTGGTTTTGGGGTTAAAATAGTCACAAAAAATAAATAGACTATTTTAGTCACAACGAACAAAACATCACATTCAATCCATAATCATTACACTCTTCTCTCATAAAAAAAGTCAAAAAATTTAAAAAACTCTTCCTAAATTCCCTAAAATCAAATCTAGCTCAAGAAACCATCTTTGTCTGCTTCTGTATAACAACCTACATGGACATATAGAGATGGAAATCACCATCAAAACAACCTGAATACTTAATACACAAATGGCATTTTTGTAGAGAGAGAGAAAGAGATTGCCTGGAAAGAGATTAGGAGAGGATAGAGGAGGTGGTTCGAGCATGTATGGATGTCGAATTAAGGATTCGTAGGATGCTGAGCAAAAGAGCTCTTCTCATATTCGCCATTTTTTTTTTTTTTTTTATGAACAATGCTCTGCTTCTGTTTTCTTCTGCTTTTTGTTTAATTATTTTATTATTAAAAAAAATTCAAATTTAAAAACAATTAAGAAGATTATATTAATAGAATTGAGAAAAAATAGGGAATTTGTTGGAAAAAATAGATGAAAAAGTAATTTCTAAAATAGGAAATAAATTTTTTAATAGTATGTAGGCTGCTGATGATGCTCTTATAACTTGCATTTATATTTCTTGAGATGTTTTCTATCTTTGAGGTGGTGTTTGGCAAGTGATTTTGGGACTAAAATAGTCACAAAAAATAAATAGACTATTTTAGCCACAACGAACAAAACATCACATTTAATCCATAATCATTACACTCTTCTCTCATAAAAAAAAGTCAAAAAATTTAAAAAACTCTTCCTAAACCAAGCTTTTTAACCTACGGTAAAATAATTAAAAAAATTAAAAAACCAACCCACTTCTCAAACGGACTGAGCTCTTGTGATGCAAAACCATGGGCTATTTAACAAAAGTAGCCAACTGCAAGGAGGTACAAATTAATTTTTTTTAAATTTTGTGGTGCAAAGTACAGATACATTTAATAGATAGTGGATGGTTCACATCTGCACTTGTCGCTTAAAACGCTATTTTTTTTTACAAAATTAATTTTCAAAATTTAAAAAAAAAAATTCTAAAGATGGGCTGTTTTCAAAAAGATTTTCCAAAATTAATTTTGTATAAATTATTGTTTGGGTAAATTACATCTACGCTCATGAGATTTGAAGAAAGTGCATTGTCATACAAGTTTTACGTAATTATATTAGGATTCTTTAAAATTTTAATTCATATAATGTTTTATTTATTTATTTTTATATTTTATAAATTATTAATCATATGACTGGAAAAAAAGATATTATCATCTTTTTTTTATATTGAAATTTAATAATTCATTTATATACACATCAATCAATATAAATTTATTAACGGAATAAAATTATTATTCACTATTTTAATGAAATAGATAGTCATAAGAATTATCATTTTATTTTGAAAATTTTATTCATAAATCTCTCTTCACTTACTTTTATTTCACTTAATCTAAATTATTTTCTTATATTTTAATAAATCATGTGGGTAACATAGCTATCAAATTACCCCTAATAATAATATTTACATTGACAGTGTGAATGTTTCGTGATGTAAACATTCATACTGTCAATATGAATATTCACATTGTAAAATTTGAATGTTCACACAGTCAATGTGAATATTCACATCGTAAAATATGAACGTTTACATCACCAAGTTGCTAGCAGTTAAAAAAATATTTGTAAAGATAAAATTGTCTATAAAATAACTTAAATATGATAATTAAGATTTAGTTAATCAAATGTTCAAATGCTAAGATTTATTGAAATATAATGATATATTATGAACTAATTGAAATGCAAGTACCTTAAAAATAATTTTTTAATAAATCTATCTTTTATTTTATTTTATTTTATTGGATATATTACAAACACATCCTTGAGATTTACTTAAATTACAAATTACCCCTGTAATTCTAAAAATTATATTATGCCCTCTAAAGTTTCTAATTTTATAACAAATAAGTCCTTTTATATTAATAAATCATCAAGTTAATTAACAATTTTTAATAATATTAAAATTTTATTTCAATTAATAATTCAGATAATTTTATTATTATATAGTTGAACAGTTAGAAATTTTACTTTTTCAATTAATTCTCTTAAATAAAAAATTTTAATAATGAGATATTTATAATTTTTTAAATCACAGATAACTATTCATATTTTAAGCAAATCTCATCTTGTGTTTGTAATTTATTCTATATTGATTTAGAAAAATGCTTGGGAGCACTAATTAGTGCTCCCACTAATTAGGTGGCAGTGGGTCCCGTCATGAATGATGTGATGTTTTGGTCTTGGAATTGTAATTTTTTTTTATTTTTTTTATTTTTTTAATACATTAGTGCTATTAGTGGTGATGTTTTTAGTGGGATGAATCATTGTTGATTATTTTATTCCATTAAACGAGCGTTATTGTTTCTGTTTCTCTCCTTTTACTTGGACTCCACACGTACCTCGTGAATCACTGGTTTCACTCACCACCGTCGGATCAGCAGAGTGGACCAACCTCACATTTCCTCATAAATTATCTGATTCACTCTCTACCGTCCGATCAAACAACCCCAGAAAAAGTTTATTGAGAGGAGACTTGTCGTTTTGTGCACTCATTAGTTGTGATGTAACCGTCTCAACTCTCAATTATTATAAAATCAAGGCTCTGTCTCTCCCATACTTTCTCTCTCTAAAACTCTCTCTCTCTCTACAGAAGTAACGCCAAGAAGATGTGCGGCGGTGCTATCATCTCCGACTTCGTCCCAGCCCACTGCGGCCGGAAACTGATGACGGACGACCTCTGGTCGGAGCTCGATCCGTTCTCCGATCACTTCGGTCTGGACCTTTCAAGTTCAAATCAGTCGGAGAAGAAGACCAAATCTCGCAAGCCGAAGCAACTCAACAAAGGTTATAGATTCATCATTCATACACAAACACACAAATTGATAATATATATGTACATGTACAGATATGTGTGTGTATATATATGGCAATGGATATGGCCGAGAAGTCATCAATGGCACGAAATGAACGACGACATATGTATATCATGTCAGTTTCGTAACGTAATCTAGTCATGAATCATGATTTTAATGCATATCGAAGAGTTTTGAGTATGAAGGATTAGAATCAGAATCAGATGTTACGGTTATAAAAATATTAAAATGAAAAGTTTTTAAGACAGTAGAATTGATATCTGAAACTGAGTGTATATATAGACTGTAAATAAATTCGTAAATTGATTACTGTAAATCGATTTAGAGACGATATGTTTTGATGATCCGCTGATACATATCTTAGTTTCATAACAGTTGAACTGATTGTATGTATTGAGAACTAGCTATATCTACTGTGAATTGATTCGTAAATCGATTTAAAACGTTTACATATCAAGAATTGATATGTGATTTTCATTCTAACAAATATATAAAAATGATCGATAATATACACATATAGTTTGGTTTTGGTTTTTGGAAAAGTGTTGAGTAACAGAAAAGTAACTGTGAATTATCGTAGGGACGAGCGAGAAAGCTGAGGGGACGAAAAGTGAGACTCAGAGGACTCGAAAGAACGCGTACAGAGGAATCAGGCAAAGGCCATGGGGGAAGTGGGCGGCTGAGATTCGCGATCCTCATAAAGGCGTCCGAGTCTGGCTCGGAACCTACAACACGGCTGAGGAAGCAGCCAGAGCCTACGACGAGGCCGCCAAACGTATCCGCGGTGATAAGGCCAAGCTCAACTTTGCTCAATCACCGCCACCGCTGCCGCCACCGGCTAAGAGGCAGTGCGTCATCCCCGAGTCGACTCAGGTGAGCTTCCATGGTTAGGAATTTTAATCAAAATTAAATTATTATTTCTTTCTTTCATGTTTTGACCATTATAAATTATATGACACTCTTTTTTCCTCATTTTTATATTTGGCCTTTTATATAGATAGAATACTCATGATCCTTTGTTTTGGGATAATTATTAAATAATAATCGAAAGTAAAACCATTATTGGCGATATAAAAAGTTAAGGGGTTGTTTGGCTAGATATGAGTATATTTATTTAGATAATTGTATTTATTTAGGTCATATTATCTGTTTATTTTTATATAAATATTTTTATAAAAGTATAAGAAAATATATTTATATAGAATATTTCAAATAATCCTAAGTATTGCCGCTGGGAGTTGATTCAGCGCAAGGTTAGGCCTAAAAATGCTTTCAACCGAGTTTGATTCCCGGAATCTCTTGCATGGCGCTTTTATATTTCGTCTCAAGTGAGGCCTTTTGGGAACTTTCCAAAAAAAATTTCGATATGCAAAAAAAAGTCGGCAAAAGTGAGGTCTCTTATTTTTACACTTTTTAACTTTTTTATACAAAAAAAAAAAGTCGGCAAAAATTAGTTTTTTTAATATAAAAAAGCCAAAAATTCATTAAAAAAAATTTAAAAAAATTAACTTTTCACTAACTTTTTAAAACACCACTTAGTTTGGAACTGAGAGTGGTGTAACCTGAATTTTTTGTATATTTATTAATTTTTTAAAATAATTTTTTACAAATATTTTACTATTTAAATACATCTAAGTAAGATGCATCTGACTATGTAAAAAAATTACTTGAAATTTTAAAAATATTCACTAAAAACAAAAATACGAAAAACAAAAAAAAACTTAATTTTTAGAAAATTGAATTCAAAAAACTAAAACTAAACACATTGATTAATTTTAAATAATTTTGTTACAAAATTAATATTACAAATAATTATTAAGAGGTGGATTTCCTTAAGTCTGGAGGGCGTTGTTCGGACTTGTAAGATTCACTATAGGTCTAATTTCAATGATCTAAACTATTTATTTTGTTAAACATTTCATGTATATCATCTACACAAAAAGATTAGATTGGTCCAATAATTGTAACATATTCAATTTATCACACATATTCAATTTATCACGTTTATCGCAAAAAAATAAAATAAAAAAATGAGCGACAATTGTGTTTTTGAATAAATTATGATTATCGGATCGATTTAATTTTTTTTAATAAATAATATATACATGAGAGTATTTGACAAAATAAACAATTTGGCTCATCAAAAAAATTAGTATTAAATCAATGATTTGTTTGATATTATATTTTATATTTATAATTACTCTTTTACCATTGAAGAGAGAGAGAGAGAAAGAGAGACAAATCAATTTTAAATACTGTTTTAAGCTCTTAATTTAAATTCAATTTATATCCTATTCTGTTTTTAATTTATTTTTTGTCGTAAATATTTATAATTAATTTTTTTGTTTATGATTTGGATAGATTAACAATCAATTCATGGATTTTGGGTTCCAACCCCAACAACCCTATTGCCCGAACCCAATGGCTGATGAATTTGAGTTCAAGGAGCAGATCTCCAGCTTGGAATCGTTCCTGGGTTTGGACTCTGAGCCAACTCAGTTCGAGGGATTCGATGAGTCGGACTCAGTTGATCTGTGGATGCTTGACGACCTTGCAATGACTCATCTTCAGCCCCGTCTCTTCTAAATCAACTAAAAATAGGCTCTCTGTTTGTTTGTGTCATGTTTCAGAGTTTGTAATGCATACTTTATGTCTGTGTATGTTATTGCATAATCAGGGGTATCACACACACATATATATATATATGATGCATCATATGACATATATATTCTATATATATATATCAATAAGGTACCCATGTTTGTATTCAATGATCCATGTTGTCCTCTTTCGTGTTTAATTTTGTGTGATCATGTTTGTGTTTGTGTAGGATATTTTGTACTAAGCAATGATATATAAATAATATTTTTTTTTTTTGATTCAAATAAATAATATATATATATATATATATAATGCATCATATAACATATATATTCCATACATATATATCAATAAGGTGCTCATGTTTGTACTCAATGATCTATGTTGTCCTCTTTTGTAAGCAATGAACTCCTACATGTTGGGGTTTATAGCGTTCTGCTTGTTCTAGTAATAGTATTGAGTAAAGAATCAGGGGATCTCTAAAACCAGTTTGACATTCTGTGTGATATGGGAGGACCTTATGTACACTGGCAGCAAGTGGCCACACTATTAATTAGTTAGTTCATTAGAATTTTATAATTAATCAATTAGGGTAATTAATTAGTTAGTTTAAGAATTGTAATAATAGGACACGGCCAATATTTTTAACTATTATTAATGAAGGTAATATGATATATAAATAAATAAATAAATAAGGTAAATTACATAAACTTCTATTTAAGTTTTGGAAAAAAATATAATTTTATTCTCTTTTAGTAAGGCTAAAATGGATCAAAACTATTAATGTAAATTGTATTAATACATAAAAGTAAAAAAAAAAATAAAAAAAATAAAAAAAGTAAACATACATTTCAATATAAAAGATATAATAATATTATTTTTTATTTATATAACTAACGAATTACTGATGAAAAGAAAATTGAGTATTATCTAAATTAAAACTTTAAGGAGCCCAAAAATTATAGAACATAATGTATTTTTTCTAAACTTCTAAAAAGATTAGTGTAATTTATCTAGTAAAAAAATGTATATTAAAAAGTTATACATAATGATTTGATTGAGTTTTAAGCTTATCATTTCAAAAATAATATTATCATGTCATTTTGGTACAAAATTTTATAAAATAACATTTCCTTTTATATTTTGGGTTAGACCATCTCAAAAATTTTACTATAATGACTAAAAACTTCGTTTGTTACAATTAGGAAATAAGCCAAGTCATAAATATAATGATGATATGATGTGCAATAAAGTTTTCCTAATTTACCAGAAAATTTATCAACTAACCTAATTAATTGGAATGTTATTCTTTTTTCCTTCAAAACCTTCACTTTGAGATGAGCTGTCATGTGGATAGTAAGTAATATTCAGATAAATTGAAAATGCTCCCAAATCTTATTGTATTATGTGACGATATAATTAATTAATGAACTTATATTATAATAGTGAAAATTATATGCTTCGATACATAATGTATCCATCCAATTCTATTTGTAATTTTTTGAATAAATTATAATTATACCTTTTGAGATTTGATTAAAATATGAATCGTTTTTTGTGGTTCTAAAAATTACATTTCATTCCCTAAGGTTTTTAATTTTATAACAAATCGCCCATTTTATTAATAAATTAGCATGTCAATTAACATTTTTTAATGATATTATAAATATATTTCAATTAATAATTTAAGTAATTTTATTATTATACAGGAAAACAATTATAAATTTTAATTTTTTAAGTTAATTCTATTAAATAAAATATTATGAGAATGGTATATCGATAATTTTTCAAATCACAAAAAATAATCTGAACTTTAAATAAATATCAAAAAGTGTATTTATAATTTATCCTGACTTTTTATTATAGAGTAAGACCATGTAAAATGGTAAAAAAAAAAGAATGATTTATTGTCTTGTAGTATTAAGGAGATGCTGAATGTAGAAGTTTCTGTTGCACGAGGTAAGAGTAATAGTATCAAGAATTGTAATAATAGGGCACGGCCAATATTTGTTTCAATTAATAATTTAGGTAATTTTATTATTGTATAAAAGAGCAATTACCAATTTTATTTTTTTAAGTTAATTCTATTAAATAAAATATTATGAGAATGGTATATCGATAATTTTTCAAATCACAAAAAATAATCTGAACTTTAAATAAATATCAAAAAGTGTATTTATAATTTATCCTGACTTTTTATTATAGAGTAAGACCATGTAAAATGGTAAAAAAAAAAGAATGATTTATTGTCTTGTAGTATTAAGGAGATGCTGAATGCAGAAGTTTCTGTTGCACGAGGTAAGAGTAATAGTATCAAGAATTGTAATAATATGACACGGCCAATATTTTTAACTACTATTAATGAAGGAAATATGATATATTTTTTAAGAGTTGATTAAGTTATTAACATCGAATCTCTTATCACAAGTGGTCGCATATTAAAATTATATCTTTAGCTATAATCAACGAGGATAATTATGATATATATATTTTTTAAAAGTCATTAAGTTATTAACACGGAATCTTTTATCAAAAATTGTCTCATATTAAAGTTATGTTTAACTATAATCAATGAAGATAGCGTTATATATTTTTAATAGTCAATCAAGTTATTATCACCGAATCTCTTATTAGAAGTTGTCTCATACTAAATTTATTGGAATGTAAAGTTTTATTATTTTTTACACGTAATCAATTTGTATGTTATCATCCATGTAGGACACAAAATTCAGAAATATATATATTGTATGTTGTAGTCGTAGATGTGACCCAATTAATTTAACTCATAGATCTTGATAAAAGGTGTTTAAAATTTTATATGTAGTACGGACATAAGCTTAGATACTGAGCTGACAATTAATTAATTTACTCATTGTACAAAATGATTAGGATGGCTCCACTTGCCAACTCATATACACCTCCCAAGTTCTAATTTAAAAATGCTAAAATCAGTATGTCAATGTTGAAATATATATATATATATATATAATTGATTGAAATATGTAAAAGAAATTAACAAAAATAATTTGAGATATACAAAGTTTGTATTAAAATTAAAAATAATTTGAAATTTATGTAATTTTTATTGGCAACTGTTAAGGAATATATACGGTATATATATAATTTTTTATACTTAAATATATGTACATATGATTTTGTTAATTTTTTTTTTTCCGAAATGGATAGAGAAACTCTCCCACTTCAAACATGGAGGGTTCATAGCCTAATTAGACTAAAACAACTTGAAAAGAAAAAAAGAATTGACATAAAAATTAAAGAAATTTCATTTACAAAACAAAAAAAAACAAAGAATAATGAAACTTTCATAGGCTTTGCCAAACAAAAAATCTCCATAAGAGATGTCAAGGATGTTAGTTCAAAGTTGTGTCCATTTATTTGAAGTGTCACTAATGTCAACTTAGTTCATACATGCACCAAAAGAAATTAATGGGCAAAACCAGGGAAAGGCAATGCATGATATATATATATATATATAATTTTTGTAATTCTCTCTCTTTTTTTTCGTCACCACTTCCACTCTTACCTTCAAGAAAAATTCATCAAGTAAGAAGCAAAGTAAGAATTTGCATCTCTTTTACCTAACAAATGAAAATAGGTAAAATTGGACCACATTCGTTAGTGAAAATTGGACCCCATTAATAGTATTCACCACCAAACCTATGCCTTTCTTTCTGGGGACATACCTTGAAGTTGACACAACTGCAACGCTATCTTACCTATTGTTTTTTTCTTTAACCTTAATCATCATGCTTAGTGAGAAAACAAGAGTCAAAAAGTTAAATATGAAAGGAAAAAGGAGCTTAGACCAGAGTCACCGGCAGCCGCAGCCCAAGAGTGGGAAAAGGATCAATGCATCCAGCCATCCATAGGGGGTGTTTGGCAGGGCTTTTTTGAGCCAGTTTATGGCTTTTGACTTTTAAAAAGTTATTTTGGACTGTTTGATTAAACTTATTTCAAACAGCTTCTGATTCTAACAACTTATTTTAAGTTAAAAAAGCTGATTCTGAGAAGCTGCTCACCCCTTGCTTCTGATTATCAGCTTCTGCTGTGGACATGTTAATTCACGGTTATACTTTTAGATTTTTTTATTTTTTATTTTTTTAAAAATAGAAAAAGACCCAAATAGACTATAAATTATTATTATTATTTTTTATGAAAAATATAGACAGATAGTGAATAATAAAAAATAAAAATTAATTGAAAAAGTTACTCACAGCTTATTTAACAAACACTACTCAGCAACTTAAATCTATAATCCAACAGCTATACCAAACAGATTAACAATTTCTGATTAAAGTTATAATCTATAATCTGTTAAGTTATAATTTATAATCTGTTTTAATAGCTATACCAAACAGCACCATAATGCTCCACATATATATATAGTTTAAAAATGTCTGTGTAGGACATAGACTGTAATAACAGTATATTTAAGTTTTATATTTTGATAATTTTTTAAAAATTAAAATATTGCTCTATAAATTAAATAGAATAAACCATTAGATATATGATAGAATTATGTGTATGATATGTATCATTTTTTAATTTATTGATGTATACTCCAATTCTATTACCCTATCATTTTTGGTGAATTTATAAATCTTGTTTGGTAACGTTTACGTTTTCAGTTTATATTTATAAAAATTTTATAAACTGGTTTTTATTTATTTTTTGTTTAACATAAACTACAAACGCGTTTGGTAATTGACAAGATGTTTAAAAAAATTTTAAAATATAAAAAAGAGTGAGAAATGGCAAGTGGTGGCAAGTAGCGGCGGAAGATGATGGTGGAAAGTGGTGACGGTGTGTGGTGGGTAGCTGGTGGTGGTGGGTGAGTGGGTGACGGGGGCGGGTGGTAGGTGGTAGCGAGTGGGTGACGGTGGCGGGTGGTGGTGACAGGTGGGTGGCGGATGGCGAGTGATGTGGTGGGTTGGCGGGTGATGGTGGTGATGGTGGGTGGGTGGGTGCGAGAGGGTGGTGGTGGTGGTGGTGGTGGCGGGTGGTTGAAGGTACACTAGGATGATCCCTCTCATCATCTACCTAACGAGAGTAAGATCAACAAAAAGGAGGTAAAATCTATTTTTATTTGTCACCATTGTGGTAGGTATGGCCATATTCGCCCTTATTGCTTTGAATTGTTTGGTAAGGTGTCTCAAAAGGGTAGAAATTCGAACACTTTTTGGGTTAGGAGACAACCTTACATGTCTAGG